TATATGAATTTAATAATGAATAATAACAAAAATAAAGATAAATTTAATCTGAATTTTAATGTTTTGAAGCGTTCAAGAATAAGATTAGTGAGTGCAAAAGAAAAGGTAATTAACTAATTATTTTAATTTTATTATGTATCATTTATAAATCATGATAATTGTTTAAGTTTACTTATATAATAATAATATTATTCTTTAGATTACTAAACAAATTGGTATAAAAATTCTTATATTATTTAAATTTAGTCAAATGCCTAAAAATACACTATTATTAATAGATATTAACGCAATCTTAACATTAAAAAAGACAAAAATTAAGAGGTTAAATTTGTTTAGTAATAAAGATGATAATACTGTTACTCAAGTAAAATTTATTGCATTTTATATTATTTATTATTATTATTTTATTCCTTTATTTAAATATATTTATGTTTTAATGTCAGGTAACAAGCAAATCACTAACAACACCTTTATCATTTTCTATCATTCCTTCAGTAGTGATAACTTCTCCTTCTTCTATTATTAAAATGACAACACATAAAGATATGTTATCTAATAAAATAGCATCTAAAGCTGTGACAGCACCCAAGATAATGGCATCTAAAACGATAGTATTAATGGCAATGGCATCTAAAGTAATGGTATCAATGGCAACAGCATCTAAAGCGACAATATCATCAATGACAACAGCATCCAAAGTGACAGCATTATCAATGGTAACGGCATCCAAAGTGATGGCATCATCAATAGCAATAACATCCAAAGTGACAATGGTATCCAAAACGATGGCTGATCAAGGTTAAACAAAATCTATACTAATATTTATTGCTGTTTATAAATGTTTTAACGTTAATGATAATTTATTAGTAGCTAATAATTTATGTGAATTGACTAAATTAATTAAAATTGGTTAAAGTAACTCATCAAAACTTAATTCAGTAATAGAACATCAAGAAAGACTAGAAGCTATGATGAATGAATAAAAAGGTCAGATTGCAAAAATAATGTTAAGATTGGAAAATCTAGATACTCTGACTAAAGTTGAAGTGAAAGATGATAAAGGCAAAGGAAAAAATAAAGGGATAAAGTCAGAAGAATTTTATCAAATAAATATAATTTATATCATTTCTTTATATTGTTTTAGTACTATATAATTACTTGTATTATAGGATGCAATCAAAAAACTTATACTTAAACTATTTCATGAATACCAACAAGTAAATGATATATAAATGAAAATGCATCTCAAAGATAAGTTAGAAAATAACAAAGATTCTGCTAAACAACTTCAGATGTTGCGTCATAGAGATATTTCGTTTGATCAATTATAGAATGAAAAATTATATTCAAGTGTAAGTAGTATTTATTTTATACAATATAATCTTATCAGTTGATAACTTTATTAATTTATTTAACATTTTCAATATATTAGCTTTTTAATGCAAATTGTGTAAAGAAAGGGTATTATGTAAGAAGATTAAAGGAGAATCTATAGAGCACTTTCAGAATTAACAGAATAAAGCCCTATAGAAATGGTTTTAGTAAGAAGCAGATAAGAATGTGAAAAGGGAGTGAAAGTATTAGAAAAGTTCATAAGGATTTGTATATGCTAAGCAACCCAAATGATCTATCATTCAATACTTACATCACATTAATCATTAAATCTATTTTTACATCTGAAAAAGAGCGTACACAAATAAATGCCATTTGAACTCAATCAGTATTGGAGGTTATATTCAATGAGAATTACCTTTCAATAAAAATTAATTCAGATATTGTCAAATCCTAGACTAAAAATTTAATAGACATGAAAGTGGTAAATATTTAAGCGTTTAGTATTTTTAAAACTAATTAACTTACTAATATTAAAATAATTTATTTAGAGCTCAGAAAATTATGATTATTCGTCTAATAGTAAAGCATCGATGCATAGTAATCCATATGATGACGATTACTATGATAATGATGATAATGATGACCATTATAATGATAACGATGGTTTAAGTGATGATAACTGAGATTATGCATTATGATGCTATGTAGTACTTTTTTTTTCCTTTTTTTTTCTTTTTCTTATATAAATCTATTTTTTTTAGATGAATAATCATGATCATTTGTTTATTGCAATCAGATGTAAAAATGTATTATGATTGTATTTTAGTGTATTTTAGCGTATTTTAATTAAAAAATTTATATTGATAATCACATTTCTCAACTAAAATTGGCGTTATTATACGCATTTTTAAATAGCATTATTTTACTATATGTATTGTTCTATACTTAAATTATGTTGTTTTACATGTTTTTGAATGGTGTTGATTGATAAAGAGTTTATTGCACAATACTTTTAGGTATTGATCAACATCATGTGTATGTTGACACATTAAATACCTATTTCAAATATCCTGATGATCTTTAAAGGCTTTATTCAGTTTATATCAAATGTTGACCACAAACTTTCTTTAACTCTTCTTACATAGTAGCCTCTTTTTAAACGGACTGTGATGAGTAGCTAATTTACTAAACATATTAATACACTAACTAATATAATGTTATATAAATTGGAATACTAGTACTTACAGAGAAATACATTTTTCTGTTCCACAACTCATCAAAGGTTAAACCTCTTTCATTAGACTTCTAGAGAAAATCAACACAATGTTTATTATTGTCTAATTTTTCTTTAAAACGTTCTTTCATCTGTTATTCAGATAACTGTTTGTGCTTGTAGAATATTTTGTAAGCAAGCTTTTTAATCACGTCCTGTAACACAAATTTAATTATAAGTAAACATTTAAAGAAATATTATAAATTATTTATATTTATTTACATAGTAAAAATCTTCCTCTTTTTTAACTACTTTTTCCTTTATCTTTTGTCTCAATTTTGAGGCAAATCTTCTCATAGTAATCATTTAACAATGACAATATTGTTGATATTTTATTGTCCTGATTGTTTATCTTCTTCTCTAGTTTTTCTTGATTTACAATTAGTTCATTCAATTTTGTTGAATTGCTTTGACAGATTTTAATTATTTTTATTAATTCTCGTGTATAATCAGCTAATAAATTAGAATTAATTTAATATCATATTAATAAATGTAAAATATATGTTGATATAAATTCTATTTGACCTTCAGCAGATTCTTTAGAATCTTAAAATACTCCAGAGTTTGTTTTAGACGTTTTAGATGTTGTTCAATGTGTAAAATGAGGTATTACTATATCAGATAAAGGCATTATTGATGTTTCTCCTATCTACGTGATAAATAAATACATTGAGAGTTAGTTAAAACAAGTAATAATAATAAAAAATATAATTTGCCATTGCTAATTGAGTTGTTTTTCGACATACCCTAGTAGTATTACTTGAACTTGTCTGAAAGATGTAATCATTGTTTAAAAATAAGTCAATCTTTAGAATTTTTGTTTTTCTAGTATTTGATCATGATCTGTTAACAGATTTCTCGAGTTTTCTAGTATTTGATCACAGTCTATTAACAGATTTCTCAGATTTCCTAGTATTTGATCGTAGTCTGTCAACGGATTCCTCAGTAACCTTAATATTAGTATCAGTAGAACTCAGGTATTCTTTTGATGCTATGTTTAATTTTAAAAATTAGTACGCTTAATTTATTTTAATAAACAAAGAAGTTTTCTTCATACCTTTATTTTTCAGAGTCTAAAAGAAAGTATAACAAGTTAACAAACATAGAAATAATCAACCAAACGTAATTAATAAACAATATATAATTACCTTTTCATTTGCTATTATTGATCTTATCTTTGGACGTTTTAAGTTGTTGTAATTAATAGTACTTATTATGGTAAATATGATAGGTGAAAAAAGAGAGTAAAAAAGATGTTAGATATTAGTGTTTCTTGATTCTTTTTATTTTCGTGTTTTTAGATGATGTGATTAATCTTGTTGATTAATTTAATGATAAGAGACATAAATTGATCATTAATCAATTCAATTTAGTTTAAATATCATGATATTCTGAAATCCTTAAATTCATCACATTAATTTAACTTAGTAGTTAAATCCACATTTTATTTTATTAAAAAAATGTCAAGTTATACATGTTCAATTTGTGGAAGAGAGTTTAGTCATTGTACTTCACTATGAAATCACATAAAGGTTCATAATAATGCAATAGTTGATAGAGCTTTACAAAAAATTTTTGAAGAAGTAAAACAGATCTATGAATAACTAAAAGAAGAGGAAGAGTTAAGTTATGACGAGCAATTAAAAGAAGAGGAGAAATTGAATTATGACGAACAACTAGAAGAAGAGAAGGAGTTTAATTACGAAGAACAACTTGAAGAAGAGGAGTTGAGTTATGACAAACAACTTGAAGAAGAAGAGGAGTTTGGTTATGAAGAATAACTTGAAGAAGAAGAGTTAAGTTATGACAAACAACTTAAAGAAGAAGAGGAGTTTAGTTACGAAAAACAATTTGAAGAAGAGGTGAGAGATTAATATATTACATAGTTATTTGATATGATATTATATTAACATCTATATATAGCAGATGATCAACAATGACAAGATCGAGTATTTATTGCTTTCCATTAAAACAAGTCCAATCCTTGAGTCTCTTAATATTAGTAATTCAACAACAGATATACCAGAATTTCTAAACAATGAATTTAGAGATTTTATGAAGTTACTTACCAAATGGAACTTATCAGATGCATGTAGCAGCAATATACTTAAATTTTCAAAAAAGATTTATTGTGATAATATAATTTTACCAACGTTTGTAAAAAAGGGCCGTCAGTTGTTAGATTAGATGAATGTATCACATATTTCTTTTAAAAAGATCCCTATTATAGTATATAAAGAGGAAACATATTACCTTTATTACTGTCAAATTTTTGATGTTATAAAGGAGTTGCTAAGCAATCAAAATATATTTCATCATTGTAAATTTAAATTTGAGCCATTGAACTATGAAGGTCAAAGAATTTATCATGAACAGTATAACAGGAAGTGGTGGGAAAGAGTACAAATTTTATTCCCAGTGAAGCAAAAGTCTTGTCGATAATCATGTATTCTGACATGACGATATGTGACCAATTGGGTAAAACTAGCCAACATCCCATTTATTTAATCTTAGAAAATATACCTAACTGGATTAGAAATAAACCCAATGCAAAAATTCTTTTGGAATATCTTCTGCAATTGAAGGCAAAAACTAACTCTGAAAAAAAATCTAAGGGCTTTCAATTGGCTAAACGTGTTCTTTATTAATATACTTTAAGTATATTAACATACCCAATACTTGATTATAAGGCCGATGGGATTGACCTTAAAATGGATAACAATAAATTATTATAGTGTTATCTGTTTATTTTTGTGATGCTAGGAGATCTTTCAGAAAATGCTGCAATACTTTAACGTATAATTCCGTCAATTATAAATACTTATATCATCAGTATTTAATAGAAAGTGAAAACCTAAATAATGTAAAATTAAAAAATGAATAAATTATTCTGACAATACTAGAAGGTATGAAAAGTATTGTTGAACAAGGTTTTACATAATAATACTTTTTATATAATATGAAAAACATCTTCTGGAAATATCTGTATATATCACGTGATCAATAAAAAGAATTAATTATGACAATTTCTTAATAACATTTATTTACTTAGTCATTTAAACATTTATTCAGCAATAATTCCTAACCACATGCATCATCTTGACTTGAGCTTGTTCAATTACCAAGTGAATTATATAAAAGAATTGCTGATGAATTACTATGATAAAGTAGCAGTTGACGAATTTGATAATTGCCTAGCCGAAATTCTAAGATTTTCTGAACTCAAGTTGTTTAAAAATGGGTTGAAAAATTAAGCAGTTTACAGCAGATGATTTTTGGAATATGATAAAGATGTTTCTTTTCATTATTAAAGGATTAATCAAAAAGCATTACAAAGAATTGGTAAGTAAAAATTAAGCCAAAAAGGTTGATAAACTATTAGTTAACGTATACTATAGCTAGAATAAGATGTATTTGTACAGTCAACAAGAATATTTTTTGGAATCAAAGTGTATATTTTTGAGGTATGATGGATTAATGAATTTTTAAAATTATGGTACTAAAGTCCGATTATTAATGTAATAAATTAATTGTATTTGTAGGAATTAATTACAAGTTAGGCAACATCATTTGTAAAGCTCTTTAAATCATATTCTCTATCAGAGCTTTGATTACCAAAACTACACAACTGGTGTTATCATATCATCGTAGCAATTAAAAAACATAGGGTGATTAATAGTTTTATAATGGAAATATACAAATTTTTACACAAAGATTCTGTTAAAAATCATATAGAGCAAGTAACAAGCGTAATGCAACTGATCAAATAATTAAAACAGTTAATATCTATTTTACTCATTGTTTTAACGATTATGTATGTTAAATTGCTATTATTTTTATAGGTTTATCATAACTTGATAGTTAAATACTTGTCACATCAACATGTAGCTGTTAACTGATATTAACAAAAAACTATAATGAATGGCCTTTTAGGCACATTTTTTTTAAAAGATTTTGATGAATTTTTTAATAATTACAAGTCAACCAATGATTTGGCCAACAAAGCTTTAATGGCTTTTAAACATTTTCTACTAGCATTAAATGAATTTTTTGACTTATGCAAAGGCTTAACTGACGCAATTAATTATAAAATTAGCTGGTATAGCTATACTAATACTATTTTTAGTAGAGATTATATTAGAGCAAAAAGCAAATATTATAATGAATTGTCATTTAGCGATGTATTGATCAACATGAGTAAAGAAGAAACTGAAGACTATAATATGGACAAAGGTTCATGTTTTGGTAAGGTACAGTTGATAATACTAGTAGTTTTATATTAATAACAATGTTAATTATCAATGTATTTTATGTATTTAAGTTTTTATGTTAATTAATATTGAAATGGAAGATTATTCATCTTTTAATCTTGCCCTTGTACAATGATATGATTTTCATTACAAATATAATTCAAGACGTTTATACAAATACAATTACCTCTTATTACAGATTATAAATACATATAACATTATGCCTGTAGTGTCAATCATTAAATTAGTGCATATAATTTAATGTGCTGAACGACTAAATAAATATTTTGTAAATGTATACATGTTTTAATTCATGAAAATAAAGTTTAAATTTAAATTTTTAATTTTTAACAAGTTACAGTATGCGTTTATATATGCCATTGCATAATAGTATATAACGTGATAAATAACTGATGGTGTTGAAAAACATGTATAACAATGGTATGTGTTGATAAACTTTAGTACACAGCGTTGTGTAATGTTATATATTGTGTTAAATTATGAGTTAGTATTGATCAACACATATACTGGTGTGAGTTGACATCTTTAAAATTTCCTGATGTTGTAATATAGTTAACTCTCATTATAATTATACATTAAGACATTTTATATTCAATGACTATGACAAGATGTGATTATAAATAAAAAAATTTTTTTAATGATAAAATATAAATAAAAATCTATAAGAAACATATAAAGCTAAATAAATAAAATAGTTAGTTTCTATGACTAGGCAGGTCAAATGATCATCTCAAAAAAATTTATTTTTTTGATTATATAACACAAGCTAGGTATAAAATATAGACTTTAAAATTTTTTTTATATTAATATCAATATATATCGATATACAGTCATCCTCTTTCTATAATCACCTCCTATATATAAATCTCTCATTATAAGCACACATTTTGTAAAAACTAATACCTCTTAATGCTATATAAAAAACCCTTTTATAATTACAGAGTTTTTATAGTTACATCCTTTCAGAACTAACACTTTAGTAACAAAATATAAAAATTTCCTTATATAGTAACTTTTTTATTATAATTACATTTTTATTTTAATTTCAAGAGATATAACTATAAAGAGAGATGACTATATATAAAAATATAAATTTATTATATTAATAGAAAAATCAAAATATTAAGAAAAATTTATAACTCTAATTCTAGTTGATCATTATTTTTATTACATTACACAATAAACTATTATATTTCATTGTTTATAAATATTATAACTGAATAATACTACTAAATTAACTATTATTTAATATATTAATTATATTATTATATTAATTATCTTATTATATTAATTATATTATTAACTTTTTATTATACAAAAGTATCAATCTTTTCTAACTTTTTTTTTCTTTTACTATGCAATTGAGTATTTAAGAATTTTAACTTTTTTTCTATTTTAATCAATACATTTAGATCTGCAATACATGCTTTATAGTAAGTATACTATTTTTCAAACACAGACATTACATATTTAGGTAAATCACAATTAAAATATACAGTAGCGGTCATAAGTATCTGACTGCCTCTAACTCCGGCTACAAGTAAGTAAATTTAAAAATTTTTTTTTTATTTAAAAAATACATAACCAACTAACTAAAATTAATACATTGTGTAGTTACCATCTGACTCTATAAG